TTATAGGAATCAAAAATGAGATAAGCGATAATCGTTATGCTGAAAGTCATATGAATCAGTCTGTAGTGAGTTTCTTTCTGGGCCAACAGTTCTTTTGAGATCCAATTTCAATGTCAAACAGTTCCTTATGTGTACATGTCAGCAATGATATTTCAGTTCTGGATGGTGGACTAATAGAGGTAATGCAGGTCCAACACAGCTGCTGACTGCTCTTACGGCAAGGTGATGTCAGTGTCTTCCATATCTGGACTGTTTCCCTTCTGTCTTCATGGTTGGAGTAGTCCTGTCACTTTCTCTCTGTTGCCAGAATCCACATGGTCTCAGAGTTGTTTTCTGAAAATATACAAACATATTCTCTACCAAAAGTTAATAAAGGAATATTTTCTATAAATTTGACTTGGGATTCTTTTTCATTTTTTGCCTAAATGATTTTCCTCTGGCTTGTTTTGAGACCATGTGTGTTTTTCATGGTGTCTTGCTGATAGCATTACAAATAATTTTCTAAAGTACAAATTTTCTAGATATAATTTACTTACAGGATATTTTCCCTTATATGATATTCTTCTACTTTCCTCCTTTTTTGATTTAAATATTAGGAGGCTTTTGAAAATTTTATAATGTAGTCTTGATAGCTTTTAAATTTTAATCTTTTGCACTATAATATGACTACTTTAGGTTCATTTCCTGTTGTGAGATTTTATCCTGAGATGAACTACCAATAAAAATTTTAGTTAACACAAGATCTAAATATATTATATTCAACTAGAGCTGCATGCTACCTAAGGGAAGGAAACTATGGAGACTATATTCAAGATTGTAACAGGGCTCTGGAACTTTATTCTCAATCAAACCTCCTTTTCTTTTAAAAAAATATATTCTAATGATTTTTTACAGAGAGGAAGGAAGAGAGATAGAGAGTTAGAAATATCTATGAGAGTCATCAATCAGCTGCCTCTTGCACGCCCCCTACTAGGGATATGCCTGCAACTAAAGTACATGCCCTTGACCGGAATTGAACCTGGGACCCTTCAGTCCACAGGCTGACACTTTATACACTGAGCCAAAACGGTTTTGGCAATCAAACCTCTTTTTCAATTGAGAATGACCAGTGAAACTTTACAGAAGTATCAAAAGGTTTATGTGAATTATAAAACAGTGTTATGCAAATAGGCTGTGAAATCCAGATAGCAAATTTTAATGGACATGGATGCATCTAGCTGGTGGGAGAAGCTGTCACCCATTGCTGTCACCCATTGCCCATTTCTATGTAGTTGTGAGTTTGGCAGCCTACAGCGGAAATGCCCCCAGACTAAGTGGGAGATTCCTGCAGCCATGACCAGCTGGGCATCACAGATGAAAAAAATGTTTAAAATTCTTAAGAAAGAAAATCAATGTGTAAAGGACGAAAACTATGAAGATGCCCATGGTAAATAACACAAATGCTTAAAGATTAACAGTAAGGAATGTGCTATTCATACAAACAGAAGCTGTTACTTGAATCTGTACCAGTTTGCAGAGGCAAAGCAGGATTTGATTAGATGCTTCAGATAATGGGCATGTGAAAGCATGCTGTAGACACACTCTTGCTAAAAAAGGAGTCAAGAATCATCAGAAAAATTAAATAATCTCAATAAAGTTCTACTAGACTCAAATATTATTGAGGCAAAGGTAGAACTATTAGCCAAATTCCTTAATATTAAGGACTAGAGGCCCAGTGCACAAAATTTGTGCACTGGGGGTGGGGGGAATTCCTCAGTGCCCTCTCGCTCCTTACTGCCTGCTTGCTTGCTGTGCCATAGTGCTGCCGCGGAGGTAGGAGAGGCTCCCGCCATCGCTGCTGTGCTTTTCACCATGAGCCTAGGTTCTGGCTGAGTGGTGTGTTCCTTGTGGGAGCGCACTGACCACCAGAGGGCAGCTCCTTTGTTGAGTGTCTGCTCCCTGTGGTCAGTTTTCATCATAGCAACTGATCATTCTATTATAGTAGTTCCACCATAATAGTCGCTTAGGCTTTTATGTATAGATTAGAGGCCTGGTACACGAATTTGTGCACCAGTAGGGTCCCTCGACCTGGCCTGTGGGATGGGGCCAAAACTGGCTCTCCCACATCCCCTGAGGGGTCCCAGATTGGGAGAGGGTGCAGGCCAGGGGCCCCAACGGTGCATAATTGGGGCCAGGGAGGGATGCTGGAAGTTGGTCAGCTGGAGAGGGACTGTGGGAGGGCTCCAGGCATATCCAGCCCATCTCACTCAGTCTCTATCAATCGGATGCCAGCAGCAAACTCACCCACCAGTTGGAAAATCTGCCCCCTGGTGATCAGTGCACATCAAAGCAACTGGTTGACTGCCCCTGGTGGTCAGTGGACCAGTCGACTGCCCCCAGTGGTCAGTGCACATCATAGCGAGTGAGCAGTTGAGTGGACTTAGCATATCATTAGCATATTATGCTTTTACTATAGAGGCCCAGTGCACGAAATTTGTGCACTGGGTGGGGGGAATGTCCTTTAGCCAAACCTGCCCCCTCTCACAGACTGGGAGCCCTTAGGAGATGTTCTACTGACTGGAAGTGGGCCTAAGCCACAGTCTGGTCTTCCTCTGTAGGAGGTGACTGGGCTGATCAGGGAAGGCATCAGCCCTATCACCCCACTGCTGCTGCCACTGTCATAGCCACCAAGGTGTTTTCAACACGGACTCCAGTCCCTTCACCATGAAAAAATGACAATTTTCTTTAGGCACTTTCAAGATGTGTCTTTAAAGGATATGACATTTCTTTTCTTTCTTTTTTATCCTCACCTGAGGATATGTTTCCATTGCTTTTTAGAGAGCTTGGAAGAGAGAGGGAAAGACAAAGAGAAACATTAATGTGAGAGAGACACTTCAATTGTTTGCCTCCTGCATGAGCCGGGGCCAGGGAGGAGCCTGCAACCTGACCTTGATCAGAATCGAACCCAGACCCTGCGATCAGTAGGCAGAGGCTCTATCCTTTGAGCCAAACTGGCTAGGGTAGGATATGACATTTCTTAGCCCCTCCATCAGCAAACCTTAGTTTTTCCCCGGGAGTGTGGTGGAAAAACCCTAGATCACCTTCTTAGATTCTTATTACTCAGGTTACCAAGAACACTGTGAAAGGTAGCTTAGCCAATGAGCCTTCAGAAAAGGTGTTTCCTCTTCAGCTCATGCACAGAGGACCCTCTGCATTGTGTCTGCAGGGCTTCTGTCCACTGGGCTGGGGGCTGTCGGGGGCATGTCTCCAGCCCAGCAGCCCTGCTTCCTGTCAGCTGGGCTTCTATCTGCTGGGCCGGGGGTGTGTCCCAAGTCATGTGGCGGTGGCTCTGAGCACGCCCCCAGCCCAGTGTCTGTCTGCTTAGGGTGTCCCAAGTCGCACTGTGATGGCTCAGAGCTCACCCCCAGCCCAGCACCCACTTTCTGTCAGCTGGGATTCTGTCTGCTGGACCCGGGGTGTGTCCCAAGCCATGTGGTGGCAGCTCAGAGCACGCCCCTGGCCCAGCAGCCCAGCATTCTGTCTGCAGCTCTTCCTCCCTCTTTGCCTGGGAGTGGAACGCGCCCCTCCCTGGCGCTATGGGCTCTGCTATCTTTGTAGTGGAGTGATGGTTAATTTGCATATTACTCTTTTATTAGATAGGATAGAGGCCTGGTGCACGAGTGGGGGCCAGCTGGTTTGCCCTAAAGGGTGTCCCGGATCAGGGTGGGGGTTCTCTTGGGGTGTGAGGTGGCCTGGGTGAGGGACCTGTGGTGGTTTGCAGGCCAGCTACACCACCCTGCAACCCAAGCGGAGGCCCTGATATCTGGAATTTATTTACCTTCTACAGTTGAAACTTTGTAGCCTGGAACGGAGTCTTGCTCATGGCTGCTGCAATTTCTGTTTGGATTTGTTTACCTTCTATAATTGAAACTTTGTATCCAGGGCAGATGGAAAGCTTGGCTTCCTCTGTTGCTGGGAGCAACCCTAGCCTGTTCTCTCCAGCTCCTTGGCATCTGCCATTTTTCCTGGGATTTATCTTCTATAATTGAAACTTTGTATCCTTGAGTGGAGGCCTAGGCTGGCCAGGGTGTGTGGAAAGCTTGGCTTCCTCTATTGTTAGGGAAACCCAAGCCTCTCAGCTGCTCTCTGTGGTTGCAGCCATCTTGTTTGGGGTTAATTTGCATACTCACTCTGATTGGCTGGTGGGCGTGGCTGATGGTGCAGCAGAGTGATGGTTAATTTGCATATTACTCTTTTATTAGGTAAGATTGGTTGAAAGGCCTACTGGACAACTGGACACTTAGCATATTAGGCTTTTTTAAAATATAGGATAATATGGCGTCACTCAAGAAAGAAAAGGAGAGAAAGAAAATTGACATTCAAGAGGTGAATGAAGGTTATGAAGAGCCTAAAAGTACCTCAGAGGAGATCTCTACTGGCTGCTTTGCTTATGAGAAGAGGGAAACAAGCAATGGGCAACTGGAATACTATGAAAAGCTGTTGTTTGCCAAGTCTAACAATGCATGTGAAGTTAGTTTATAAATGCTACCAGAATTAGGAAAGATAAGCCAGTGCTCAACTTTTAGCCATCACTGAACCAAAAGATTTGGCGATATTGTTGAGTAACAAACTTGAAGGGGATATATTCCTCTTTCTACTTCAGTCTCTGAAAAACAATCTTTGCCAAATATTTAAATGTCTTTCTTCCCTATTTTTTTTCTCTTTTAAGCTTGAGCTTATTTATTCCCTTAGTAAATATGAAGAACTCCTCATACTGAAAACTCCTTTGTTATTTCTCACAATAAAACATTCAGGTCTCAAAAAAAAAAAAAAAAAAAAAAAAGGTTTTAGCATGTTACCACTTTGCTATTTGTTTCAGCCCATCTGATTGTGTTGAAGATATAATAATCCAAAGACTTTCTTTGATATGATTTTCCACCTCTCATTTTTCCAATTTATTTTTTATTTTTTATATCAGGCTCTATTCTCAGAACACAACTTTATTTTCTGTTTCTTGGCAGCACTGATATTTCGCCTGGAAGGAAATATCCAAGAATCCCTAGAACTCTTTCAGACATGTGCTGTTCTCAGCCCTCAGTGTGCTGATAACCTCAAGCAAGTGGCCAGATCTTTGTGAGTATTGGCAGTCTGGAGGTCCTGGACACTCACAGAAAACGTTGTGCAATGAGCATTCTTAGGAAGAGGCTACTTCTGGCAGCCTGATCAGCCTCATCCATAGAGGGAGAGTAGCTTAATAGATATAGTGGGATTCATTTGAAGAGTGTAGGTTAACATTGAAATATGACCAAAATGTGAGTTATCTCATTTTGGTCAAATTTCACTTAACCTACACTCTTCTTGCAATGAAAATAAGGTTTTCATATAAATACTGACTTTTATGTCCTCAGTTCTCTAATCTTATTGGCAACCCATGGAAATTTTTTCATCCAACACTTAGCATAATATTTAACACACAGTAGATTTTTAATGTTTTTTGAGGGGATGCTCTGAAGGTTCCTGAATGCAAGCAACCTTTAAAATCTTTCTAAGCTGTTAGGTGCCCTAATAGCTTTACTACCCCAGTACAGTATTCCAGTAGTAAAGTTTCTGTGGGGTTCCTAACCTAATTTTTTTTAAACCTATATTGTGATTTATACCTGTACTCTCTTTGCATAGAGCCTGATTTCCCCCTGCTTTCTCCAGAACCATGATTAAGGAAATAGACTTAGGTTTGGGAATGAAGAGCATATCCCTAATAGATGATGGTGATAAATGATGGCAGCTCTTGCTTAACATGGTACATTATTTGGTTTGTTTCTTTTTTGGTCTACATTTGTAGTACACTGTAGAAAATAAATTACAGAAAACTCACTAAAATTGGTATAGAATTTGATCAAGGCACTGGTACTGCTACCAAGAGAGCTTCTGCTTTCACTGACCGAACCAGTATGATCAGCTCATAGGGAAGAGGCTTCAGAAGGCTCAGCTGGATTGAATTTGAGTCAAATGTGGTGTTAGTGGGGTTAGTCTTCTAAAAGGTTTGAGTTAATAATTATGGAAACTGTATTTCTTCTGCAGATTTCTTTTGGGGAAACATAAAGCTGCCACTGAAGTATATAATGAAGCAGCTAAACTTAACCAGAAAGACTGGGTAAGTAGGGAACTTTTAGATCTTTGTTATTAGCTACAGCTAATGGCTCCATTTATCATATGGCTGTCTTTTGTTATTACTGAATTCTTACATGCCAAAATTGTTTTTATCCTCACACTAAATTGATGACTCAGTTAGACATAAGATCAAAAACTATGTTTTCGAATAACTTAGCAGATACTGCTGCATGGTTTTCTGGCAGGGAGTGTTGCTGTTAAGCAGTTCGCCATTAATCTGATTTCTGTTGATAATCCAGCTTTCCTGTCTAGAAATGCTCTCTCCTTTCTCTAAATAAAGGGAGACTTAATAAAGGGAATTAAAGAGATTCTGTAGAGCTCAAGGTCAGGAAATACAGGTTGGTCTTGCAATGAACTAGAACTGGAAAGCTGTCAGCATCAAGGTAGCTACTCTTCATTTCTGTTTTATTTCTTTTTTTTATAGATCAGCAGTTGGCAAATGTTCTATGTTTTAAAGGGCCAGTTAGTAAATATTTTAAGCTTTGTGGCTTCATATAGTCTCTGTGACATCTACTGAACTCTGAGGTTCTAGTGTAAAAAAATCATAGACAATAACAATAGAACTTTATTTACAAAATAAGGCAGAGATGGATTTGGCCTGTGAACTTTAATTTACTTTACTGACCTCTGCTGTCTGCATTTGCAGATTGACTTCAAATACATATATTCCATTATAGTACCCTCCATATGGTGCTATCAGTCCCAAAGTCCACATCACCTAGTGAATTCCTAGATTCCTAGGAAAAGGAATCCGATTAACACATATATGTATATGTATCTCTTTAGAGTAGGACAGGAGTAGTGGGTAGTCTCTTCGGAGAAGAGGACACAAATGAAGTTGATCTCCTGTTTGTCCTGCTTTTATGTCTTATTATCTCTGTGTGTGGGGTATATTAAGGAACTCATCTTTTTAGAATTAAATATATTTGAATATGAAATCTAGTAAAAAACTGACTGTAATGCATATTTTAAAGTTTAAACTTTGCTGAACAATTAAAAATCTCTGGATGACTGTTGTTTCACTCTAATATGTAATGTGAAATTTATACCTAACCTGTTTTCTTTTGTGTGTAGGAGATTTATCATAACCTAGGAGTTTGCTACATTTATCTGAAACAGTTCAACAAGGTAATTTATAGAAATAGTGGTGGCTAGTGATTTCACTGAGGGTATACTTGTTACAGAGGTGCTATTGCTCACTTTGTATTATTTCTTAGTGCTTGCACAGATTTTTGGAAGTAAAAGTTTGAAAATGCCATATACACCTATCTCCATTTTTCTTTTCATTTGCTGTTATCCATATCTCCCCCCTCACCCCCCCTGCTTTTAACAAGAAAATGAGAAATTCTAGAAATATTATGAGGGAATGGTCATCTAATTTCCTTTTTTCTCTACCCCAGATTAATTTTCCAGTATAGAAACAAATGTTCAGTAAAACTTAGGTATCAAAAAGTAGACCATTGCCCTAGCTGGTTTGGCTCAGTGGATAGAACATCAGCCTGCAGACTGAAGGTTCCCGGGTTCAATTCCTGTCAAAGGGATATATCTCAGTTGCAGGCTTGATCCCGGGCTCTGGTCAGGGTGTGTGTGGGAGGCAATTAATGTATCACTCTCACATTGATGTTTCTCTCTCTGTGTCCCTTCTACTCTCATGAAGAATCAAAGGTAAAATGTCCCCATGTGAGGATTAATAACAACAAAAAAAGTGGACCTTTAAGTCTTAAAAGTGTAATCATGACCATGGTAACTCTCTTATGCTCTGATAGCAACTAATTTTAATTTTTAAGGTCATTGGAGGTAAATTTTCAGTTACAAGTGGATCTGATTTCTGAGTTTCAGTTTCTAAGGTTATTTTCTATATGAGACTTTATATTTCATTGTGATTAAGCTGCAGACTCTAAGGCTCTTATATCAAACTCGGTGCCTGGTGCACAAAATTCATGCACCCTCAGCCCAGCCTGCCTCCTCTCACATACTGGGAGCCCTCAAGAGATGCCCCACTGATGGCTTAGGCCTGCTCCCATTGGGAGCATACCTAAGCTGCAGTCTGATCTCCTTTTGAGGGAGGCTGATCAGGGGAAGGTGCCAGCCCCATCAGCCCGCTGCTGCAGCCACTACCAGTCACTACAGCCATCAAGGTATTTTCATCAACACGAACTCCAGTCTCTTCACCATGAAAAAAATGACAACTTTCTTTAAGCATTTTTAAGATGTGTCTTTCATAGGACATGACATTTCTTTCTTTATTTTTATTTTTATCCTCACCTAAGGATATATTTCCATTGATTTTATCCCCTTCCCTCTGATCCCAGGCTTGGCCCCTGCCCAAGCCTAAAGCCTCCGCCACCCCCGACCCTCCAATCACAGGCTCAGTTCCTTCCTAAGCCTAAAGTTTTTGCCCTGGGTTTTAGGCTTGGGAAGGGGAACCCTCTGCCCCTCTGATCGCAGACTCGACCCCTTCCCAAGCTCAAAGCCTCTGCCTGATGGCTGGCTGGGAATGACCTGGTGGAGGTTCCCAGGACCCAGGTGTGTATGCAAATTAACTGCTATCTTTGTTAGATTAATTTGCATATTCACTCTGATGGGTTGTGGGTGTAGCAGAGGTAGGGTCAATTTATATGTTTCTCTATATATAAGGAAAAAATATATATATCTTAACTGAGGGATAGATTAAATTAATTGAGAGCTCTGAAAATTAATGATAGTGGGCTGCATAGGGTTTCCTTCATAAAGCTTCCACTTAGTGATTATGAAGTTTTATTCTCCTTTCCCTAGTGCTGACAAGACTAAGAATCTCAGTTGGTTAATATCCATTTAACAACATTTAATCTATCCCTCAGGTATGTGGAAAAAAAATATGTACATCAGCAGTTGAGGTGTGAGAGTAACTTTCACTCTTGTGAAATATATAATAACTAGAAGCCTGGTGCATGAAAATTCATGCACTGAAGGGGAGTTCCTCAGCCTGGCCTGCCCCCTTTCACAGTCCGGGAGCCCTCAAGGGCTGGAGGCAACCCAGCAATCAGGGGAAGGCAACACCCCATCACACCTCTGCTGCTGCCACTGTCTATAGTGCAAGTCTCAGCTGGACCTGGTTACCTGAGCCTCGGGTGGCTCTGGGCGGCTGGGCAGCCACCATCCGAGGCTTGCCTACACCTTGGGCCATCCCTGGGTGGCTGGGGGGCTGAGGAGACTGGGGGGCTCCAGCGGCAGGGCTGAGGGGACTGGGCATTGTCATTTTGTGGCTGTGGGTGTGCCATCTTTGATGGCATAGCAGTCAATTAACATATTCCCTCCTTATTGGCTGTGGGTACCACCATATTTGAGGACAGGACATTCAACTAGCATATTCCTTATTGGCTGTAGGCTGCCACCATCTTTGCGATGGCATGAGGGTCAGTTAGCATATTTCCTCTTTATTAGATAGGATAGGTATAAGTAAAAAAAAAAAATTATATATAATGGGCCCCCTGTCCACAGGGCAGATCTACATTGTTAATATACTTGGTTAGGAGATTTTTCTCTCAGAGGCTATTCCAAGCAAGTATATTTCTATTAATAGGATTATTCTGAGGCAAGGGAAAGGCAGGTTGGTCTTTGGTCATATCTGTAAAGGAGAAAAAGATTATATTTAAATGTTACTGTAAAGCTAACAGAGCAAATACAATACTTGGCATTTATGTAAATAGTTGTTGAATCAGCGAATCACTAAAAAAGCCCTTTTGATCATCAACTAGGAAGAATATAAGCTTTTCCAGAGCAAGAAGTTTGTTTTGTTAGCTCTAATATACCTAGCACCTAGGACAACAGGTACTCAGTGAGTACATATTGAGTGAATAAATGAGAACAATCCATTCATTTATTTATCAAAATATTGGTGAGGAAAATGAAGTCCCCTCTGGGAAAGGTTGTGCAGTTGGTCACTGGTGCAGCTGGACAGTGCTGTATACTGTACCATGACGCCCTTTTTTTGACTTATGAAATATGAGCCATAGGTATGATTATTAAAAAGCAGAAAATAGCACTGGCTGGTTTTGCTAAGTGGTTGGAGCATCAGTCTGTGGACCGAAGGATTGTGGGTTTGATTCTCTGTTAAGGGCAAGTACCTTGATTGCGGGTTCCATCCCCGGCCACAGTTGGAGTGCATGCGGGACAATAAATGTTTGTCTTTCCAGTCAACGTTTCTTTCTCCATTTCCCCTGCCCTCTTCCTTCCTTCACACTCTGTCTGCAAATCAATGGAAAAAATATCCTCGGGTGAGGATTATAAAAAGAGAGAGAGAAAAGAAGCAAAAACATTCAAAAAGTTAGTCATCTTGTAAAAATTCTTCCAAAGGCAGATACTCTATGTTTCCAGCTGTCCTGGCAGCAAGTACAGTTTTGGTACGAGTTGTAATTTTTTATTATTGGCTGAAATGGAATGTTCCTACATTAGTATAGCGGGAGCTTTGTTTTTGCTTTATACATACATAGCCATTGTCCTTTATGGTAGTGATTTCATTCTCTTCATCAATCTTATTAGGCACAAGACCAATTGCATCATGCCCTACATCTTAATAGGCATGATCTGACTTACATAATGCTGGGGAAGATTCACTTGCTGGTGGGAGACTTGGACAAGGCCATGGAAATCTACAAGAAAGCTGTGGAGTAAGTGTACCTGTTTCCGTTAGAGCAGGACTGGGGAACATCTGGCCTATAAGCCATGTGAGGCCCATGAAATCATTTGATCTGGCCCTGCCAAGGCATTAGTGGTGAGTTAATTAAGTGTTTGACTAAATATAGCAGGATAATCTTTAAATTGATAATTTTATATGGCCCACGAATGATCTTATAAATATCTAAATGGCCCTTGGCAGAAAAAAGGTCCACCCAACTGCCCAACTTTGGAGCAAGGAAAAACTTAAAAAAAAAAAAAAAAGGGGGAGTAGATATATGAATTCTCAAGCCTACAAGAGAATATATATATACTGATAACTATTTGTATGAATTAGATGAATTAGAGTAAATGTTATGTTAAGGTTAAGAGATCCCAATGACCTAAATAAGGAAGATTTGTATTTCTCACCAATTAGTATGACTGTGTGGGAGTCCCTTTTTTCTTTTCTTTTTTTTTTTTTTTTTTTAACAAATCTTTATTGTTCATATTATTACAAATGTTCCTCATTTGCCTCCCCCCGCCATTGCTTCCCTCCACCAGGTTCCCACCCCACCCTCTGCCCTTTCTTCACCCCCCATTGTCCTCATCCATAGGTGCACAGTTTTTGTTCAGTCTCTTCCCGCACCCCCCACTCCTCTTTTCCCCGAGAATCGTCAATTCACTCCCCTTCCATACCTCTGATTCTATTATATTCACCAGTTAATATTGTTCATCAGATTTTTAAAAATTCCCTTGGTTTTTAGATTCACTTGTTGATAGTTACGTATTTGTTGTTCATAATTTTTATCTTTATTTTCTTCCTCTTCCTAAAGAACCCCTTTCAGCAATTCATATAATTCTGGTTTGGCAGTGATGAACTCCTTTAGCTTTTTTTTTTTTTTTTTTTTTTTTTAATTTTATTTTATTAGTGAAGCTCTTTATCTGGCCTTCGATTCTGAGTGATAGCTTTTCTGGGTAGATTATTTTTGGCTGTAGGTTCTTGCTATTTATCACCTTGAATATTTCTTGCCATTCCCGTCTGGCCTGCATAGTTTCTGTTGAGAAATCAGTTGACAGTTGTATGGATGCTCCTTTCTAGGTAACTACCTACTTTGCTCTTGCTGCTTTTAATATTCTCTCTTTGACTTTTGCTCTTGGAATTTTAATTATGATGTGTCTTGTGTGGTCCTCTTTGGATTCCTTTTGTTTGGGGTTCTGTGCGCTTCCTGGACTTGTAAGTCTAATTCTTTCACCAGGTGGGGGAAGTTTTCTGTCACTATTTTTTTCAGTATGTTTTCAGTATCTTGCTCTCTCTCTTCTTCTGGGACCCCCATAATTCTAATGTTGGTTCGCTTGAAGTTGTCCCAGAGGTTTCTTACATTATCTTCAACTTTATGAATTCTCTTGTCTTCTAGCTTCTGTGGAGGAGTGTCTTCTGGCTCTTTATGTTCCAAATCTTTGACTTGATTCTTGCGATCTTCCATTCTGTTTTTAGGACTCTGTATAATATTTTTTTATTCCAGACAATGTATTCTTTATTTCTTGTTGATCTCTTATTATTTCTTGTTGATCCCTTATTATTTCTAGTTGATCCCTTTTCATATCCTCATAGGTCTCGTTTATTTTATCAGCCTTTTTTAGGAAATTTCTTGAAAAACTTTATAAGCATGGTTTTGAACTCTATATCCAGTCGCTTTTTGTCCTCCATTTCTTTTGTTTGTGATCTGTTTCCTTGTCTTGGCATTTTCGCAGCTTCCCTGAGTTGGTAGCTTTAAAAGTCTCTGTGTTCAGCTTGGATGGGGCAGAGTTTCAGGGTGGAGCCTACAGTCTTGGCTTCCTGTCAGCCCTGCCCTATGAGGCTCCTGAGTCTCAGTGTTCCTCAGTGTCCCTTGGTACTTGCTGCAAGCACCTCAGAGAAAGGTGCCCTCAAGTTTCGCCCGCTACCAAACAGTCTAGGCTCTCCCCCGATGAGCCCGGAACTGGGGTTCAGATCAGTTGAAAGTGGGGTTCAGAGCAGTCTGGAGCTTTTGTCTCCTTCCCGCTAGGGCAATCCAGCGGCACAGTCAACTGTCTGTTCTCTGGCCGCAATGTGAGCGCCTCTGAGACTGCCTTTTGTTGCTCCTCTGAGATTCTGCCTTACAGCCCAGGATCCCTCTGTATGAGCCTGGGTCCCCAGAATCTGGCCTAGAACTGGGGTTCAGTGCTGTCGGATCTAGAGTTCAGCACAGTCCAGAGCTTTCATCTCCTTCCCACTAGGGAACGCCAGCCAGGCACTCAGCCTCTCTCTCCTCTGTAGCTCCGTCCTCTTTGCGCGCGCAACGTGTCTCCGTACCTTAGGCTTTTACAGCTCCTCTGATTTTCCTTCTGGTTTTCTCTTTCCTTCTAGTTGTAGAATTTCCAGTCAGTCAACTTTCCTGGATTTCTGGGTAATGTCCATTTTGTATTTTAGTTGTATTTTATTGAAATTGTTTTGTGAGGCTGCAGTTAGGTGTTTACCTATGCCGCCATCTTGGATTCTCTTGTGTGGGAGTCCTTAACAGGACCCGTGTGGTTCAGGGCCCACTCAGGATCTGGTTTCTGGAGAAGGCCACATACTAAAATGAAGAGAGAGACTGGAAAAAAGAGTTAATTTGGGAAAATGGGGGGCCAGGCGGGAGTTAACCTCTAGTGGGAAGACTACCACTAGGCTCTCGCCTTGCTATCCCTTTTATTGAGGCTATGGGACACACCCATTACCCTTAAGCAGCTTTGGGAAACACTCATAGCCCTTAGGCAGGTAATAAGCGGATTATTATATCAGTAAGGATTTACATTATTATTATACAAGATGGGAAAGTTGCCTCAGTAACCATTGTCTCAATTAGATAGGAGTGGTTGGTTCTGATATTTCAGAGCTTCAAGGTTGACCAGCCTCTTTCTATTAGTGAGACAACGATTGGTTTCCAGCATGACTGGTTTAGCCTGGTGGGCAGCTGTGCTCTACAAGGTCAATCTGGGACCCAGGTTCCTTTCTTTTTGACTCACCATTGGGTTATCTTCATCTGCAAGGTTGAAGCTGAGTTACTATAACCTCCATATTCTGGGCTGTGGTTGGGGGAGGTGGTACTGGAAACTAAGTACTAAATAAAAAGCTTGTAGTATTTTAAGTGACCCAGAAGTTATACACCTTTTTACGCTTGCATTCCATGGTTCAAAATCAATGAGGTGGCCACATCTAAATGTAAAGGAAGTGGGCACACATGCTTGGGAGGAGGGTCTTATTAGCATGTTTTTTTTTTTAAAAGTATTTTAAAAAATATCTTGTTTTAGAAAAATATATATTTTTGAAACCTCCTATTGATATTGGAACTGACTGGCTTTCCCAGGATGGTGTTCCATATTTTCTCTCTGGACATACGTTATCTTGCCTTTTCTGTATAGGGTTTTCTTTGTTTTAAATGGGATAGCTGTCACCATGATGCTTTAATGTCTCGTTTGTTTGTCCATTTAATAGAATGCTTGGTCACAGAGTCTAGTATTCATGGTAGTTAGACTATGAACTAAACTTAATTTGTTAAATTAATATGTTAATTAACTTTGTCTTCTACCATAGTAATGATGTAGTAACTTTTCTGGTTCCATCAGTTACAGCTTTCTGAATTTTCTTCAGTCAAATTTTGTGCCTAAAAAGATAGAAATATCCCTTGGTTAAGTGAAGTTATAAATGACTTTTATCATCAAGAGGCTATGTATATGTGGACAACTAGGAAGGAGCCCACATAGCATATGTTAAGCTTCTGTGGGGCTGCTGGGAGCCTTAATTTGTAACCCCTGGCTTCTAGAAAATGAGTTCACATAAATCTAAAGGGTGACATTCTTTCAGTGGTTGGTCAAGGACACAAGAATTTCCAAGAGGACAGTTGAGCATTTGGAGCCTTACTGAGAATGTGGAGATCCACAGCTTGGAGATAGCAGTTTTGGTAGATCATGCAAGTTAGGTTGGGGAAGGGAGATGATGAAAATGGATATTTATTATGGCAAAGTGAAGGGCAAATACTCAGTTGAACTGAGTAAGCTTTGTTTGGCCAGCTCAGGTCTCCCTGGTTGGGGTTTTGGTCCCTCTCATTCTGGTCGCCTGATAGGTAACCAGCGCCCTATCTCATTGCTTCGACTCATGCAACACTGTTCTTCATCTTTGGCATTTTTACTGTTGGTACTGTTTGATTATCCTGTAGTCAGATCATAGCTCAGTTTTGTAACAAGACAAATATTAGTGAGGGATTGGGAAGGCAGATAATCTTTTACCTAAGTCAGTGGCTAATCTTTCCCAGAGCTGGTATGTCTTCCTTTTTTTTTGTTTAGTGTGGCTGTTTACCATGGCCTTTTGTTTAATGTGGAGAGCAGAGCATTAGGGCCCTTAGGGTCATAAATTACACAGAAAATTATACAGGTTGCCATTGTGCATACAGTGAGAACAGGGGAAAAAAGAAATTCTACCAGAAGGAAACTGGCTAAAGCTACCCTGTTTCCCCGAAAATAAGACAGTGTCTTATATTAATTTTTGCTCTCAAAGATGCGCTAGGTCTTATTTTCAGGGATGTCTTATTTTCCTATGAAGAAGAATATGGTACATATTTATTGTTAAGTAAAAATAAAGGAAATTTATTACCTGTATATGGTACGGTAGTACGGTAGTTGTCAACACAGCCAGACAAACTGTGAATCCTACAGTATCAAGAATCTACTCATTTATTCAATGACAATCATGTCATCATCTTCTGGAACAACATCATAACAATCCAATTCCTGAATTTCCTGATGAATTTCTTGTGACTCCATTTCTTTCAGAATCAGTGGACCAAATCTCTCATGTTTAGCAATAGCACTGTCTTTAAATGAGTACTTCTTGTCAAGGGAGCCTGCTCGCAGTGCATTTGCAATGCAACTGTCAGTGATTTTCTCCCATGAATTCTTCACCCAAGTCACAACTTCTTGCAGTTTAGGTTTCACAAAGTTTCCATGCTGATTTCTCTCCATTCTATTTTCAATGTAGTCATTAATTTCCATGCACAAATTGTCTTTGAATGGCTTGTTAATTGCAATATCAAGAGTCTGGAGATAGGTCGTCATTCCTGCGGGCGGCCCTAGTGACCAGTTTACGGTAAATTAATTTTCATTCTGAGACAGAGCCTTAGGGGAGCCTTATTTTCAGGGGGATGCCTTATATTTCACTTAGAAGGATGTTTTATTTTCAGGGAAACATGGTATGTATTTCATACTGGCTTGGCTTATAAAGAATTATTCTTTAATTCTGTCAGTATAATGAAGACAGTCACATAAAATATTCAATAGGTTTTTTCTTAGGACTTGAACTCTTAAGAAATGATCCTGAAAAAGAGTCTGAATTCTAAGTCCTATTTCTATATATATATATTTTTTTTTTAAAAAAAAATATTTTTTATTGTTTTTTTTACAGAGAGGAAGAGAAAGTGATAGAGAGTCAGAAACATCGATGAGAGAATCATCCATCAGCTGCCTCCTGCACACCCCCCACTGGGGATGTGCCCGCAACCAATGTACGTGCCCTTGACCGGAATCGAACCGCAGACTGAAGTTCTATCCACTGAGCCAAACCGGTTTCGGCCCTATTTCTATCTTGTTGAGCAATCCTCCCTTGTAGCCAGGGTTGAAATGACACACTATTGAAGGCAATTTCCCAATCGTCCTGGGGAATTTCCATGGAGAGTGGGACACACACTGTCTTTCAGATGTTGCATGAGGGTATGTTACTGTGCATGTGCCTCAGCATCTCATTCACATCTTGTTTCCTTTTGAGCATCTCTGTGTTGATCTCTGTGTTGCAGGTTCTCACCAGAAAATACAGAACTTCTTACAACTTTAGGATTACTCTACTTACAGGTAAGAACTCTTTACTCATTCATGCATTGATGTTAGAAATACTTTTGGATTATGTGTATTGTGGTTTCCCTGCATTTTGATTTTATTTTAGCACTTTTCACTGAAGTTCATATGAAGCACACCAACCTTACTCTCTGCATTATTATATTCTTTCTCTGTTAAAGAAATTAATTTTCTGCTTTCAAATAAAGACTAAAATTATAATTTTTAAAGGAAAGCACATATATGAGAAATAACTGGTCACAAGGACTGTCATTTTGTTGTGGGGAGAGAGAGATACAAGTTAGCACTATCAGGGTTTTGGAGCTAAAGCCATTTCTGTTGTTCCTTTTTCCCAGCCAGGTACTATAGGAAAGAGGAGGCAAAACATTGTCTAGAATAAGAAGTCTATCTCCTTCCTGAGTATGAATGAAATTCTTTTAGCTCAATCACTTATTAGCCTGAGAACTGGGGCCCAGAATCCTGGAGGGACCTCTAGTCGTCCCATTTCCCATCAACTCCCTAAGTTCACTGCTCGGCTGATTCTGCCTCCAGTTCTTCCTCTTTGGTAGCTTTTCTGTTTGTTTCATTTTTCTTTAAAAGGAATTAGGAGTTTACCCCTGGGCCTTCCTGGCTTTGGCTTGGTAGGTTGACTCCAGGGGAGATGAGGCTAACCAGCCCATTTCCTGCCAAGAGACTTTTGTGTGGAGCATATTATGGCAGAGATAATTCCTGGCAAATAGGTACTTTGATCTTATCAAGGGAAAAACGTGGGGATTTTTAGTTTTCTTTTTCTATCTGGTAGCAGTAGCTCTGTTTTGTAAAGAGAAACTCAGAAAAGTCAGGGTGTAATTGGCCAGACTCCTGAACTGCTATCTCCTCGCTGATACAATTCTCTGGTTTGCTTTTTCTCCAAGGTTGGCATTTATCAGAAGGCATTTGAACACCTCGGAAATGCTCTAACTTATGACCCTGTCAACTACAAGGTACTGTAGGCTGTCAAACCCCAGAGCCTTCATATAGATGGTCCACTCCCTTAAAAGCATTTTGAATACCTGAGAAATTACCTTTTTCTTAGAAAAAATATTAATAAACACGGCTCTTTTCATTTGAAAATATTGTAAAGTGTTGGTGTTCTGCTTGTTATTTTCCAAAAGAGCACATTTGTTATAACAGACCTATAACTTCTGCAGAAAGCAAAATTGTAGTACTGGTAAAGCTTTATATATTTATGAAATTAGCAAAGCCTCCACAACTATAAAAATACTTCTGGTGAAATGATTTCTAGTTTCTTAATGAATTTTCAATTACAACCTTGTCTAGATATGTCTTTAGGGGTGAGAAGATCATTAAGTGAATGAATGTCATTGAGGGAGATGCAGCAAAACAGGCTGTGAAGGATACAGACTCAGTCCTATCTCAGAGTCACATTAGCCTGACTTCATCAGTTCCCCACCTGAACCCTGGACTGATGAAGCCTAAAACTGTGTCACCTTTGTGCTGTGGCAGAAGGAACTATACTTTAAGTGGCAATGAAAGGAGTATTTGAGTTGTCTGGAGCAGCACTTAATGTATCAACTAGGGGCTACAGGGAACAGATTAAATATAGTGTGCTCAGAAATATTGCCTTCTCTCGTTAGAAGTTGGAAGAAGTAGGAAACAAATGAGCTGGGTAAAGTCAGTGACATTTTATCTTTTTTTTCCTTTTTCTTTTTTCTGTACTGGGCCAAAGAGAGCCAGAGTCTGGGGTACAGGGATTTCTCATGAGCATTTGTCCCCAATAACTTGAATATATTATATTTTATATGTCTCTGGAAGTTTTCAGTCATGCTGTACATTATCTACACCCAGAAAGGCTCCTTCACTACTACAGCCTTTTGGGAATAACTGAATTATCAACTTCCCATATCCTGTGTTTTCAGGCAATCTTGGCAGCAGGCAGCATGATGCAGACCCATGGAGACTTTGATGTTGCCCTCACCAAATACAGAGTTGTAGCTTCTGCTGTTCCAGAAAGTCCTCCACTTTGGAATAACATTGGAATGTGTTTCTTTGGCAAGAAGAAATATGTAGCAGTGAGTGTCTCCTCACCTTCCTTCTTTGTGCTATTGGGTCTTCCCAGCTTGCCCCACCCTCATCAAGTGCTCCTCTCTCCTGCAGGCTATCAGCTGCCTGAAACGAGCCAACTATTTGGCACCCTTTGATTGGAAGATTCTCTATAATCTGGGCCTTGTTCATTTGACCATGCAACAATATGCATCAGCTTTCCATTTTCTCAGTGCAGCCATCAACTTCCAGCCAAAGATGGGGGAACTGTACATGCTCTTGGCTGGTAAGAGACTATTGTGTGGAAACTGTCTCCACAGTCTGTAATAAGGGGGGAAATGAATTAGAATCATTGGAGGTGAGTGACTACTCTGTAGAAGCCATTCCCTTGCAGGTCCCATAGGAATCTGGATTATTGTGCTAGAGCTTGAAAAACAATGAAGGAAATAATGACAAAGCATTTGGTTGTTTCTAACTTGGGGCAATTTCACTCAAAGACCAACAGGTTAAATCAAGATCATACCTAATTTATCTTTTACCAAATGTTTTCCCTTGACTATATATACACTAAATGGCCAGATTATTATGATCTCTGAGTGTATAATAATCTGGCCACTCAGTGTATAATATATCCTATATATTATAATAAAAGGCTATTATGCAAATTGTCCCCTCAACCAGGAGTTCGACCAGCAGACAGGCCAGCCAACTGCCCATGTCCCCTCCCCCTGGCCAGGCTGGCTGGGCCCCACCCATGCACGAATTTATGCACCGGGCCTCTAATATATATACAGAGTGGCCAGATTATTATACATTCAGAGATCATAATAATCTGGCCACTCAGTATATATAAAAGCCTAAGCAACCATTACAATCGAACAACCAAAACGATTGGTTGACCTGTCACTATGATGCACACTGATGTGCATCATAGCGACAGGTCAGACACTCAATGCAGAAGCTGCCCTCTGGTAGTCATTGCGCTCCCACAGCCAACTTCCCACAGCCAGCCAAACTCCCCCTGTTCCTCACCCCCTGCTGGCACACCTCCTGCAGTCCTTCACCATCTGGCAGGCCCCATCCAGCAGGCCCCGTCCAGCACCTGGCAGGCCCTATCCAGCAGCTGGTAGACCTGGCTCCAATCAGGAATGGGTGAGACAACCCACATAGGCCCTGATCATTGGACAGCCCTAGAGACCCCACCTGTGTACACATTTTGTGCCCCGGGTCTCTAATCTCTAATAATAAAAGGGTAATATGCTAATTAGATTGGACATCATTCCAGACATCATTCTGGATGTCCTTCCAGATGAAGCCAGGGCCAGAGGGAAGTCTGGGTCTTGGGTGTGTACCAGTGGTCAGAGGGAAATATGGGTCCCAGGTGCCAGAGGAAAGTCGGTATCAGTAGCCAGGGTTCGGAAGGCCTACTCTTGCATGAATTTTGTGCCTTAGGCCTCTAGTTTATATATATATATATTGAGCCCAGCTAAGTTCCAGATATCATTTAGTATACAAGAGATATATCTTATAGGATGACGAGGGGGTTGCATGATTAAGTAACTGGGAGTTTGAAGAGCCACAGGAAGGAGCTACCTTTCTCAGAATCCCAGGCCTGTGGTGCTAGAGGCCAAGGTGGGGCGTGACTGGCCTAGGAGCTCTTAGCTGTGGAGCTGGGACTTTCCCTCACCTGCCTTTGCTGCTGGTGTGGAGGTTTTCTAGCAGAGTGTTTCTCTTACCACTTGGCAGAAGAAATCTGTGATCCTTCTCGGCAAGTGGCAGCGGCCATCTGGAGTGCTCACAGCCACCACTGCCATGTGGGGGCATACAGGCCGCCCTCTACCAGGCCTGCCGTCCCCGCCTTATCCCCGCTGCCATTATGTCCCCAATGCTGCAAGTCCCCGCCCACCTGTGCCTTCTGTGTGCACAGCCTGCTAATCTGTTGTTACTATGATGGTGTTCGACTATTACCCTTTTATTAGGTGAGGCTTCCAGAAAATACTGATTTAAAAAGTGAGATTGTAGATAGAGAGGATCCAAGATGGCTGCTCACTTAGACACCTAACTACAGCAGCACACAACAATTTCAATGGAATACAATTAAAATGTAGAGTGGACATTGCTCAGAGCTACAGGTAGTTGACTGACTGAAAATTCTACAACAAGAAGGAAAGAGAAAACCAGGAGGAAAATCAGAAGAGCTGAAAAATCCTAAGGTACGGAGACATGCTGCATGCACGCACGCACGCGCCCGTGGAGAGGACACAACCGAAGAGGAGGAGAAGGCTGGGTGCATGCCTGGCGTTCCCTAGCAGGAAGGAAATAAAAACCCCGGCCTGGGCTGAATCCCAGAACCAGCAGCGCTGAACCCCAGTTATGGGCCAGTCCCTGGGGACCGAGGCTCGAGCAGGGGAAGACAGGGCTGTGAGGCGGAATCCCAGGGGAGCGGTGAAAAGCAGAGCCCCCGGAGTCGCGCTCATTGCGCGCAGAGGACGGAATGTTGACTCCGATGCTAGATTCCCCTGGTGGGAAGAAACAAAACCTCCGGCGGTGCTGAGCCCCACTCCCGACTGCTCTGAACCCCAGTTCTAGGCCAATCCCTAGGGACCCAGGCTCAAGCAGAGGGAGATGGGGCTGTGAGGTGGAGTCTGGGGAGAATGGCGAAAGGCCGAGCCCCCGGAGTCATGCACTTCGTGCTCAAGGGATGGAGTGTTGACTCTGATGCGGGATTGCCCTGGAGGGAAGGAAACAGGAGCTATGGCCATGCTGGGCACCAGTTTTGACTGCTCTGAACACCAGTTCTAGGCCAGACCCTGGGGACCCAGGCACAGGCAGGGGGAGATGGGGCTGTGAGGCGGAATCCCAGGGGAGCAGCGAAAAGCAGAGCCCCCGGAGTCGCGCACATTGCGCGCAGAGGACAGTCTGTTGACTCTGATGCTAGACGCCCCTAGCGGGAAGGAGAAGAAAAGCTCCAGATTGGAGGAACGCGATGAGCAGGAGCCCCTGCCGGACACCGGCTAGCTGGGCGCCAGCAAGGAGTTGGGCAACGGGGGTCGCCGGGGGGGGGGGGGGGTGGTGCCCCTGGGCCCTCGACTGCTGAGTGTGGGCCACGGAGCCGAGGCTGGGGGCTGCTTCCTGGGCGGCGCTGACCCCTGCAACAGGCTGAAGCAGCACAGGAGCCCGCGGAGAACAAAGGGGTGCCACAGGTCAACCTGCTTAGCTTCCAGGACAAGGAGGAAGAAACCGAAGAAGTTTGCAATGTGAAGAAATCAAGTGACAGCAAAAGATAGTAAAATTACTTAAGAAAGAATATAAAGAAGATCTTGAAAAATCGAAGACTAAGTCAGAACTCAACTCAGCAGCCAACACTGCAACATAAATGCGTTTTTTTTGTTGTTTTTTTTTTTAAAAGGACAGAATGTTGGAACGGCAGCAGCCAGGCCTAGAGTGGCCAGGCACAAGGCAGTGGCAGCCAGGCCCGGAGCAGCAACTGCCAGGCCCCAGAGCAGCAGCAGCCAGAACCAGAGCAGCAACAGCCAGGCCTGGAGCAGCCAGTCCTGGGGCAGTGGCGGCCAGGCCTGAGGCGGAGGCGGCCAAGCCCAGGGTGGCCAGTCCAGGATAACCCAGGCCCAGAGTGGCCAGGCCCGGAGAAGCCGGGCCCAGAGCAGCCGGGTCGGGAGCAGTCAGACCCAGAACATCAGCAGCCAAGCCCGGAGCATCCAGGTCAGGAGCTGTCAGGCTTGGAGCGGCCGGGCCCGGGGCAGCCAGGCCCAGAGCAGCTGGGTTGGGAGCAGCCAGGCACAGAGCAGCAGGAACCATACTTGGAGCAGCCAGGTTGGGAGCGGCCAGGCCTGGAGCGGCTGGGCCCGGAGCAGCTGAGCCCAGAGCAGCTGTGAGTGGTGCGGCCAGGCCCGGACCAGTAGCTGTCAGGCTGGGAGTGGCCAGGCCCGGAGTGGCGGGGCCCAGAGCAGCCAGGCCCAGAGCAGCCGGGTCGGGTGCGGCCAGGCCCTGAGCAGCAGCTGCCAGGCTGGGAGCGGCCAGGCCCAGAGCAGCCGGGTCGGGTGCGGCCAGGCCTGGAGCAGCAGCTGCCAGGCTGGGAGCGGCCAGGCCCGGAGCAGCCGGGTCAGGTTTGGCCAGGCCCGGAGCAGCAGCTGCCAGTCTGGGAGCGGCCAGGCCCGGAGCAGCTGGGTCGGGTGCGTCCAGACCTGGAGCAGCAGCTGCCAGGCTGGGAGCGGCCAGGCCCAGAGCAGCCGGGTCGGGTGCGGCCAGGCCTGGAGCAGCAGCTGCCAGGCTGGGAGCGGCCAGGCCCGGAGCAGCCGGGTCAGGTTTGGCCAGGCCCGGAGCAGCAGCTGCCAGGCTGGGAGCGGCCAGGCCCAGAGCAGCTGGTCGGGTGCGTCCAGGCCTGGAGCAGCAGCTGCCAGGCTGGGAGCGGCCAGGCCCGAGTGGCCGGGCCCGGAGCAACCGGGCCCAGAGCAGCCGGGTCAGGTGCGGCCAGGCCCAGAGCAGCAGCAGCCATGCCTGGAGCAGCCAGGTCGGTAGCTCAGGAGCGGCAGTGGCCAGACTCGGAGCAGCTGGTTGTGGAACAGACCAGAGCAACAGAGGCCAGGCCAGGATCAGCCAGGCCCAGAACAGCTCGCTCCTCGCCTGCCTCCACCCCAAGGCTGCCTCTCAGACATGGCTGGAAACTTTTGGGGGAACTTGAGGGTCTGCTGAATCAAATGAGGAAGGCTTTAATCTGGATATGTTGAGTTAGTATAGCGCTGGGGTGTTGATCTGTGAGTGCCTTGTGTGGGTCCTGGATGATGTTGGTTGATCCATTTGGAAATGTCTTTTGTGTGAAGTGTATCCTTGGGCATGTGGAGGTATTATTGATTTGAGAAAATGCTAAGTAACTGATTTACTGTCTGAAAAATTTAAAGTTCTGAAAGTTTAAGGTCTCTTGCCAAAAAGAGGTTTTAAAGCTAACACCTTAATTTTAATGGAGAAAGGGAATGACAAGCCCTTCCCACCCAGAACAGGTAATCCAATTCCAACCAGCAGCTATGTTTAAACAATGTGTCCATTTACACTTGAATGGCTACACCTTTTGATAGCCTAAGGGCAAGTTTACATGTAAATAAGTTTGCTTTCAATTCCCAGGCAGAAAAAAAACAAACAAGGTTTAAAATTATTAGATTTTAAAATTTATTCTTAGAAGTGTAAAAGTTTATTAATTATAAAAAAAGAAACAACAACAAAAGGAGATTGAAAAACCTGATGAACAATAATAGTGGTTCATTGTATTAATAGTAGAGTGGGGGAAAGGGAGGGAGGAAGAGACTGAACATAAACTGTGCACAATGGGGGTTGGGGAGGGGGCGGAGGGTGGGGTGGGAACCTGGTGGAAGGGAGAAGAAATGAGGAACCTTTGTAATAATATGAACAATAAAGATTGATTAAAAAAATAATAAAAATAAAAAGTGAGATTGTCCTGGTGCTAAACAAATTTTAAAGATCAGGATTATGGGTGATTTGGGGCCAGTGAGGATTCTTAAGCAGGATAGTGTCATTTTCAGATTTGTTTGAAAGTTGTTGAGAAACCTGGCAGCATTGTGACAAGTGGATGGGTACAGATGAGGACATTGCCACAGCCTGAAACAACTTGGGCAGTGTCAGAAAAGAAACTGCAAAAAATTGTGTTCAGATAACTTGGCAACTGATTTATTGCAGAAGGGAACTGTTGAAGATGACACCAAGAAACTAAGCTGAGTGAGTAGATGGTGGTGCTAGACACTAAGGAGGCAAAGGAGCAGTTATGTTGGGGGAAGTGAATGAACTGTGGTCTTGAAACATTCCTTCTGCTTTCTAAGTTGGGTTCTCCAGTCTCAGTCCTCACTTTCTTTGTTTCAGTGGCTTTGACCAATCTGGAAGATACAGAGAATGCCAAAAGAGCTTATGACGAAGCAGTCCGCCTGGATAAGTAAGCTGCACCTTGGGGAATAGAATTGGGGAGAGCTAGACTCTCCAAAGCCAAGAAGTGGCATTAGACAACTGGCTTTGCCTGAGTCAGTCCAGTTGCTTCTCTCCATAGGCTTTGTGCACACGGCATGTGTGGAAGGATGTGCTACTAAGCCTGCAGTGGAACCGATACTGCCACTTTCTAAGAAAGTGTTTCTGGCCCTAAGTTTAGTAGTTAGGAGACCAGAGATAGTCAGAGCTGGCAGTGGACTTTGGTTACTGGGCTAGATGGAATATCAGATGCAGCTTTGGGCTCAGTTTAATCTAAGATAAATGTGACTCCATATTTATTCCACTGACATTGGCTAGGCAGCAGGGTAGGAATCACTTCTTCAACCCACCTTGGTGGTCCCTGCTGCGGGCTGAGATGTCAGACTTGGTCCTGATTGTGGGCAATTATCCTTGATTCTTTCCCACAAATCCACACATAGCACGTGTGTTCCTCTTACCTTGCTGCAGAATGGAGAAATCTCTACTTATAATCAGTTTTGTTTTTTATGTAATGAGAATCTCTAAATGACCATTGATTGTGAAGCCTAAGTTTCATAGAATCCTTGTCTGTTTGCCATAGGTATAACCCTTTAATCAACCTGAACTATGCTGTGCTGCTATACAACCAGGGTGAGAAGAGGGATGCCCTAACCCAGTATCAGGAGATGGAGAAGAAAGTCAACCTACTCAAGGACAGTAGCTCTCTAGAATATGACTCTGAGGTATTTTTTTAAAAAATATTTTTTATTAAATATGTTAATATTTATATTAATACTAGAGGCCCAATGCATGAAATTTGTGCAAAGGGCTCGGCCCTCACAGCTGCAGCTTTGTCCAGGAGGTCATCTGGCCCATCATCTGCTCTAATTAGCATATTGTGCTTTTATTATTATAGATATAAATGAGGAAGAAAGAAATAGAGAGATGCTGAAACTGGTTTGGCTCAGTGGATAGAGCGTCGGCCTGCAGACTGAAGGGTCCCAGATTCAATTCCGGTCAAGGGCATATACCTTGGTTGCAGGCACATCCCTGGTGGGGGGTGTGCAAGAGGCAGATGATTGATGATTCTCTCTCATCGATGTTTCTACCTCTCATCTCTCTCCCTTCCTCTCTATAAAAAAATCAATAAAATATATATTAAAAAAAAGAAGTAGAGAGATAAAAACATCAGTGATGAGACAGAATCATTCATTGGCTGCCTTCTGCATGCCCCACATGAGGACAAATCCCAAAACCTGGGCATGAGCTCCAATCAGGAATGGAACCTGTAACCTCATGGTTCATAAGTCAATGCCCAACTGCTGAGCCGACACTCAACCAACTGAGCCGCAATGACCCCGGCATGAGATATGTCTTTTATTAGCTCATAAGGAGCCATAAACAAGCTGTCAGTACACTTTTGATCAAACACAAATAATTCAAAGATAATCTGTTATAAGCTCGTGCCTATTGTTTTTCAGGCTGTCAATTAGTGACAGCCTGAAAACAAAACAAAACAAAAAAAAAAACTTTCCTAGAAGAAAATAGTAAGAGGAAATTCAGGCTTACTGAACCTGTTATTGATAATACAACCCCTCTGAGTTGAGGCCCATATCTCATTGTAGCTTCCTCCCAGTAACATACCAAACTTGAATTGTTAAGTTTGAGATCTTGTATGAACTTCTTTGCCTCAATAAGGGCAGTCTGTGATTTCTGCTGTTTGAGAAATATTTCTTTGTAAAAAGTATTTCCTCCTTCAAATGCTAGTACCAGTAGTCACTATTTCAGATATAACCCACCAGGTGGAAGGCCTAGGAAGCAGGTAGGCTTGCCTCTGCCGGTCATACCTTGATTCTTTTTTTCTTCACATGTGGGTACAAGATGGTGGAGATGGCTCAGAAGTTGGGAGCTGCTCTCCAGGTTGGGGAGGCACTGGTCTGGACAAAATCAGTTAAAGATCCCAAATCAAAACAACGGACAACTTCAACTAGCAAAGCTTCCGGTTTCCAGCAGCCTCTGGGCTCTAATCAAGCTCTAGGACAGGCAATGTCTTCAGCAGCTGCATACAGCAAGCTACCCTCAGGTAGGAGGTTACACACAATGCCATAAAGACCTCATGGTCATAGTCACATGTACCAGTGAAGAGGTTACAACTTTGAATGAAGCTTGTACTTTTCAGACTCAGAACCTGTCCAATGTAATATTGTTTGGAAGGGAGAAAAAGTCTTAAGGTAGCCAAATTGGCATTAGTTTCTTTAAAGCAAGTTATATATTAGGTAACAGTTACTGGCAGGCTTAATTGGATGGTTAGCATACTGGGTCTTTACAATATTCAAATTTAGAAATATATTACAGTACTTTCTATTATATAGTCTTGTTTTAAATTTCACTGCCTTATCATAAGTTGACATGGTGCAGATAATTAAAGATTTCTTTTAGTGACTCATTGAAGGCAAACTTGACTGTTTGCTTCATTTCTTGTTATGGCCTAACTTCACAGCTGCAAAGATATACCACAGTCCCAGTGATGCTAGAAAACATGCGGTTTCTTGAAATTCAACAGAATTTTTTGGGAATTCTGGAACAAGAATTCAAGTCACCATCTCTTCCTCTGGAGTTGAAGCCCATGTGGAAGCATGTCCAAGTGAAGCAGCAGCACAAATAAGAGAAAAATAGGAATAGGATGACCATAGAGTAAGGGTTTCTCTGGTGATGATTAAGAAAGGTCACATGACAGGTATAGTGGAGGTCAGCACGTTCCTTGGAACCACAGAACCCAGCATATGTTGTGATGATCATGTGGAGCCTGAGGTCTCTGCAGTCATCATTGGTCCCCATCACCTCACCCAGGAAATGAGAAGCCAGCCAGACAGGTCCTTTAAGAATTGGTTCTAAGTATGTAGTTCTAAGAGCCAGCAGGGTACTTAAAAATTTTTTAAATTTGCTTTAAAAAATTTTTTTATGTTATTTAAAAATTTTTTAAGTAAAAAATGTTTTAATTTTTTATTGATTTCAGAGAGAGATAAAAATACCAATGGTGAGAGATAATTATTGATCAGCTGCCTCCTGTATGACATCTATGGGGGATCAAGCCTGAAACCTAGGATGTGCCCTGACCAGGAATTGAACCATAACCTCCTGGTTCATGGGTTGACATTCAACTACTGAGCCACACCAGCTGGGCTTGAAAGAACTTTTGTATCCTGGCTGATCCATATATCTGTTGTCTATAAGAAACCCAATTCAGAAAAAAGGATGCACACAGACTGAGGGTGAAGGGATGAAAAAAGATTTTCCAGGCGAATAGAAATGAAAAAAAGCTGGTGTAGCAATACTTATATCTGACTAATTAGACCTCAAAGTGAAGGAGAAGGAAGTGTAAGCAGAAGGAAGGAAATAATAAAAATTAGAGCAGAGATGAACGACATAGAGACCAAAGAAACAAGAGATAATGAAGGCCACTTCATAATACTAAAGGTAACAATCCACCAAGAAGAAATAACCCTGGTAAACATATATGCACCCAACACGGGAGCACCCAAATACATAAAAAAAACTGCTGGACATTAAGGGAGAGATTAATAGCAATACAATCATAGTAGGAGATTTTAATACTCCACTATCACCTTTGGACAAATCATCTAAACAAAAAATCAGCAAAGAAATATCAATCCTAAATGACTCACTAGACCAGATGGAATTAATCGACATCTTCAGAACATTCCACCCCAAAGCCACAGAATATACATTCTTCTCAAGTGCACATGGGACATTCTCAAAGATAGACCACATGTTGGGACATAGGCAAAGTCTCTTCAAATTCAAGAAGATAGAAATCATATCAAGCATCTTCTCAGATCATAGTGGCATAAAACTGGAAATTAACTACAATAAAAATAATCCAAAGAACTCAAACACATGCAGACTAAACAGCATGCTGTTAAACAAGGACTGGGTTACCAGAGAAATCAAGGAAGAAATTAAAAACATCCTGGAAACAAATGACAATGAAAACACAACAATCCAAAATCTATGGGACACAGCAAAAACAGTTTTTAGAGGGAAGTTCATATCCCTACAAGCCTATTGCAATAAACTAGAAAAAATGGTAACAAATGATCTAATTCTACAACTCAAAGAGTTAGAAAAAGAGCAACAAGAAAAGCCCAGTGGAAGCAGAAGGAAGGAAATAACAAAAATCAGAGCAGAGATAAACGACATAGAGACCAAAGAAACAATACATAAGATCAACAAGACCAAGAGCTAGTTCTTTGAAAGGATAAACAAGATTGATGAACCTCTAGCCAGGCTAACCAAGAAACAAAGAGAAAGGACCCAAATAAACAAAATCAGAAATGAAAGGTGAAATAACAACAGACCCCGCCAAAATACAAAGGATTGTAACAAAATTCTACAAACAACTCTATTCCAACAAACTGGACAACATGGAGGAAATGGACAGATTCCTAGAAAAATACAACCTTCCAAAACTCAATCAGGAAGAATCTAAAAACCTCAATAGACCAGTGACTTGGGAAGAAATTGAAACAGTCATCAAAAAGCTTTCAGCAAACAAAAGTGCAGGGCCAGATGGCTTCACAGGAGAATTTTACCAAACATTCAAGGAAGAACTAAAACCTATCCTCAGACTATTCCAAAAAATTCAAGAGGAAGGAACACTTCCAAACTCCTTCTATGAAGCCAGCATCACCCTAATACCAAAACCAGATAAAGACAACTCAATGAAAGAGAATTACAGGCCAATATCCCTCATAAACTTAGATGCCAAAATCCTCAACAAAATTCTAGGAAATCGGCTCCAGCAGAACATCAGAAAATCATACACCATGACCAAGTAGGATTTATTCCAGGAATGCAAGGATGGTACAATATCTGCAAATCAGTAAACGTGATACATCACATAAACAAATTGAAAGATAAAAATCATATAGTCATATCAATTGATGCAGAAAAAGCATTTGATAAAATCCAACACCCTTTCCTGATAAAAATTCTCAACAAGGTGGGAGTACCTCAACAGAATAAAAATCTATACATGATAAACCCACAGCCAACATCATACTCAATGGGCAAAAACTAAAACCATTCCCTCCAAGAACAGGAACAAGACAGGGATGCCCACTCTCACCACTCCTGTTTGACATAGTACTGGAAGTACCAGCCATTGCAATTAGACAAGAAGAGGAAATAAAAGACATCCAAATTGGAAAAGAAGGGAAGACTAAGAGAGGATCCAAGATGGCTGCGCCCAGGTGAATACCTAGCTGCAGCCTCACACAACAATTTCAATAAAATACAACTAAAATATAAAACGGATATTACCCAGAACTACAGGAAAGTTGACTGACTGGAAATTCTACAACGAGAAGCAAGGAGAAAACCAGAAGGAAGCGAGGGGGAGCTGGAAAAGCCCAAGATACGGAGACGCGGCGCGGAGAGGACGGAGCCGGAGAGGAGGGCGGCCGAGTGCCTGGCGGGCGTTCCCTAGTGGGAAGGAGATAAAACACCGACTGTGCTGGGCCCCTGACTGCTCTGAACCCCAGGCCTAGGCCAGACCCCGGGGACCCAGGCTCAGCGATAGGGAGCCGGGCTGTAAGGCGGAACCCCGGGGGAGCGGCGAAAGGGGGTCCTGGTGGTGGCGCGCAGTGTGCTCAGAGAAGGGACGGCCGGCTGTGCCGCGGGATTGCCTGGTGGGAAGGAGACAGGGGCGCCAGACTGCTCTGAACGCCACCTCCAACTCCACTTCCAACTGAACTGAACCCTAATACCGGGCTCATTGGGGGAGAGCATAGACTGTTTGGCAGCAGGCGAAAATCGAGGGCACCTTTCTCTCAGAGGCGCTGGCAGCGAGCACTGAAGGACCCGCATAGGGCGGGGCTGACAGAAGCCAAGGCTGCAGGCTCCACCCTGAAACCCTGCCCCATCTGTAACTGCGAAATGTGACAACGAAATAGATCATAAACGAAAGAAATGGAGGACAAAAAGCGTCTGGATATAGAGTTCAAATCTACACTTATAAGGTTTTTCAAGAATTTCCTAGAAAAGATGGATAAGACCTATGAGGATATGAAAAGAGATCAATTAGAATTAATAAGGAGTCATCAAGATATGATAAGGGATCAACAAGAAATGATAAGGGATCAACAAGAAATGAAGAATACATTGTCTGAAATAAAAAATATTTTACAGAGTCCTAAAAACAGAAGGGAAGATCGCAAGAATCAAGTAAAAGATTTGGAACATAAAGAGCCAGAAGACACTCCTCCACAGAAGCTAGAAGGCAAGAGAATCCAGAAAATTGAAGATAATGTAAGAAACCTCTGGGACCAAGCGAACCAACATCAGAATTATGGGGGTCCCAGAAGATGAGAGAGAGCAAGATATCGAAAACATACTGAAAGTAATAGTGACAGAAAACTTCCCCCACCTGGGGAAAGAATTAGACTTACAAGTCCAGGAAGCGCACAGAACTCCAAACAAAAGGAATCCAAAGAGGACCACACCAAGACACATCATAATTAAAATTCCAAGAGCAAAAGACAAAGAGAGAATATTAAAAGAAGCAAGAGCAAAGAGCAAAGAGCAAAGAGAAAGAGCAAACCTATAAAGGAGCACCTATACGATTGTCAGCTGACTTCTCAACAGAAACTATGCAGGCCAGAAGGGAATGGCAAGAAATATTCAAGGTGATGAATAGTAAGAACCTACAGCCAAAGATAATCTATCCAGCAAAGCTATCACTCAGAATCGAAGGTCAGATAAAGAGCTTCACTAATAAAAAAAAGCTAAAGGAGTTCATCAACACCAAACCAGAATTATATGAATTGCTGAAGGGGGTTCTTTCATAAGAGAAAGTAAACAAAGATAAAAATTATGAACAACAAATACATAACTATCAACAAGTGAATCTAAAAAACAAGGAAATTAAAAAAAAATTTGATGAACAATAGTAACTGTTGAATATAATAGAATCAGAGGTATGGAAGGGGAGTGAACTGACGATTCTTGGGAAAAGGGGAGAGGGGGGCCTGGGAAGAGACTGAACATAAACTGTGCACCTAT